ATTTATAAGGTATTATTAGAAATTTGGTAACAATAAATAAAAATACATTTAAATGTTTTATCAATAGAATTTATTAGAATTCAATTTAGTAAATTATATTCCTGGAACATTTAAGGGCGTATGAAATAATTAAAATTGGAAGTACTTATAAAACCATTTTTTGAATTATGAAATAACAAATACGAATATTTTTATTGTTTCTTTTCCAGGCAAATGTAGTTGTTATTTTAATAACAGTATATTTAAAAAACAGTTGTTTGGTTTGCTTTTCACACCTTACAGTCTACAGTTAATTAAAATGAGAATACTTGATATAATTAATTTTAATTGCTCATTTTAAAACTTGTAAATCATAATTAGTAATATTTTTAAATTATTTAGACAGTTATGTGGATAAGATTATTTAATACAGTTAATTTTGTCAGTAATACAACTTTCCATTATTAATTTAGGCATGGTACTTATTGTTACTAATCTAATTTAAAAACAGTTATTATTTTAATAACAGTTTATTTACAAACAGCTGTTTATAAAATGTATTACCTTCATTATAATTCTTCTTCATTCCAAAACTTAGCACTATCCCAAAGAACTGTAAAAGTCATATGCAATTGATACTAAAAGAGAGAAGGGTTGGGCATTAGTTTAATATTGTATTAGGCACGTTTTATAGTGGGGAGGCTAAATTAATTACATCTGAACACTCTCTCATAATAATTCATTTTACAGGAGCTTAAAAACGAGGAAAGCATGAAGGTGCCTTTTTTCCATTGGGAAGGCAGACAATGTGTTATTGTTTATGGAGGGATTTATGACATGACATTGGTAAGTAATAATTAAAAGTAGTAGATGAGGTCCTAGAAACATCAATTTCTCAGACATTTGTAACTTACTTTCAATAGACAGATTTTAAATAACATTTCAAAAATGTCAAAAGCAGAACAGTAGTATTAATGTGGAACTGTCGTTTCGAGCAGTGTAAATGTTAGCTTAATACATTTTCATTTTTTTTTTTTTTTTAAATAACATAAACAACCTGTTTTGAGTTAATTTGAAAGTCAGAAGAATAGTGATAGGATTAAATATGTTACATATATTATTTTAGCAGTCATCTTTAAAATATTATTGATTAAAAGTATTTAATAATTTTTGTATCCTTTTCTACAGATTGCCTAACAAATAAGAGAGTTTGGGATGTTAATTTTGGCCCTGCCCTAGCGACAACGACCATGGAACGCTACAGTTTACAACTATCTCAGGTAATAATACCTAATTCAATTAATATTAATTACACTTTATTAATCTGGTGTCAATATGGTTAATAAAAGAAGTGCTACAACATAATGCATAGTATGATGAGCATATGTTACTTCTTTGTATAATACCGTCATATGGTCCACTGTTTGGTTGATGTAGATAATTGCGAACTTCGGTTTATCGAATTTGTGTCTAAAAAGGCTTGGTTGGTGAATATTTTTCACTTACTTTTGTATATTTCTCTAAGGTGGGCATTTTTACCTTGCGCCCTGTACATTACAATTATATATACGATATTTTTTATATAGTTGCTTATAGTTTAAAATGCAGAAAAAAAAACTGTTAATATAACAAAGTAATAATAGTCAAATAGATGCCTCTTAATCAAAAATAGAGATTGATTAAGAACAAAAGTAATGTATCCAAATCTTTTCCATAATTTCGATACTTAAAAAAATCATTACATGTGCTCTTACTGCCGGTTAGAGTAGGTTATGCCCAGGTCTTTACGTATACGATATTTTTTATATAGTTGCTTATAGTTTAAAATGCAGAAAAAAAAACTGTTAATATAACAAAGTAATAATAGTCAAATAGATGCCTCTTAATCAAAAATAGAGATTGATTAAGAACAAAAGTAATGTATCCAAATCTTTTCCATAATTTCGATACTTAAAAAAATCATTACATGTGCTCTTACTGCCGGTTAGAGTAGGTTATGCCCAGGTCTTTACGTTTACGAACTACGGCCCTGTAAACTATCATCTAATTTTGGTAAACTATTATTGTATACAAATTCTTTATAAATAACAATAAGGTACTTCTAAAATTATACTGCAATTACCTAGTTTCTATTTGATTTGTTTAATGTTTAAAAACTTTAGTTCTTATACATTTGGTCGAATTTTATTATTATATCGCAGGATTGCGAAAAACCCGCAAGTCAACGTTATCGTGAATTTGTATAAGTATGTTTTTATAATAGTTTGCTATTGGACTATTTTTGTTTTATACGAAACACTGGCATTTTTAATCGTGGTTATTATCAAATATTTA